TGCCACCATCAACCAGTCGTCTATATACGGAAAGATCTGAATGCCCTGAAGGCGAAGATGAGCGACGACAACCACCATTACCTTCGTAAAAACCCTGGGGGCGGTAGAGAGCCCGAATGGAAGGGCTTTGAATTGGTAATGGTCCTCCCCGACTGCGAATCTGAGGAACTTTCTGTGACGAGGATGGATGGAGACGTGAAAATAAGCGTCTTTGAGATCTAAAGTGACCATCCAAGTCCCTGGAGACAGGAGTGGTAAAATGCTTTGCAACGTGGTCATGCGAAACTTTCTGTAAATGATGAACCGATTGAGAAAACGAAGGTCCATGATTGGACGAAGTCCTCCGTCCTTCTTGGGGACCGTGAAATATTTGGAATAAATCCCGCGGCAACAATCCGCCATCGGGACTTTCTCTATAGCGTTTTTTTGTGTCAGCGATTGTACCTCCTGTAGCAGGGCAGGAGACGCCGGGGTTCTGATAAAACGGGAGATTTTGGGAGTCAGAGAAAACTCTATGAGATAGCCATCTCTTATTATAGAGTGCACCCATTTGTCCGTAGAAATGGCGAGCCATGCGTGCAGGAAGGGTGCAAGGCGAGTCTGAGCAGTAAGGTTGAAGTCAAAGTCCCTGTTTGGGATTCTTAGGGAATTTCGACTTATAGGCACCGGACGATTGTCCCTTATTTTTCGGGGGAAAAGACCGTGACTGAGAGGGAGGTCTTTGCCATTGATCCGTAGGTGATTTGTTGTACGGTTGCCTGGTCGACCAAGGTTGCCTAGGCCACTGCTTGGATTTCGAGTATTTGGTCGTGGGGGAGATCCCCAAACTCTTGGACGTCTTGATACTCTTATCCATTTCCTGCAGAACCGTGTCAGTGGTGGAGCTAAACAATCCAGAACCTTCAAAGGGAAGGTCTTCCACCGAGGATCTGGTGTCATATGGCAATGATGAAGAGCGGAGCCAGGCATGTCTGCGTAACGCTACAGAGGTTGCTAGAGTCTTACTAGCGGATTCCAGGGAATGCTTGGCAGCACTAATTTGGTGTCTAGCCAAGACCATCCCTTCATTCTGAATCCTTTTAATCTGAGGTTGGCACTCTTTGGGCACGTGCGGGAGGAAATCATTCAAACGCTTCCATAAATTGAATTGATAACGGCCCATGCAGGCGGCATAGTTCGCCGTTTTAATGCCCATTGCACCGACAGTGTAGAATTTTCTACCAACCGAATCCAACTTTTTTCCTTCTTTGTCTGATGGAGTAGAGTGGCTCGCTTTTCCTTTCGTGGACGAGGAAACGACCAAAGAATTGGGCTTAGGATGTGTGTATAAAAACTCAGCCCCTGATTCCTGGACCTTGTACATGTGATCCAGACGCTTATTAGAGACATTAATGGAGGCTGGACGAGTCCAAAAGTCCTTGGTAGTTTGCAAGAGAACTTTTGTCATTGGTAGAGCCACGGAGGGCGAAGTGTTAGAGTGCATAATGTCAAAAACGTTATCATCCACAAAACTGGCAACGAGAGTAGGAGTCATAGATAGATCTAATGCCATGCGTTGAATAAAATCTCCATAAGACTTAACATCCTCTGATGGAGAAATAGGTAAATCCGCTTCCACATCTTGCGAGGTGGGCTGTGCATCTACATCCTCGATATGTTCAGAAAAGCCATCTGAATCGGAGGATACATTGGATGGTTCTGGAGATGATTCGAGTAATTCAGGTTGAGACGGTGCCGGTGTGTTAATCGGGGGCACAACCGGGTCTGGTGGATGCGTCGGTATCGACTGCTTCGATACCGATGGTCGATCTTGAAAGCGCGAAATGCGGGATGACACCGACTGACGATCCCATTCAGGTGGGGGTGGTATCGGGAGTGCCCAAGGGTATGGGTATCGATTCCCGTACAAATAATGCCATTGCCTCTCATCCCAAGTCAGGGGAGGAGAAGTTGGTCGGTGCCGATCCTCGACTCCACGTTCTGGGGAGGCATGAGAGGATTGACGGCTCGACATATCAGATTGCGACTGATTTGTCTGTTGAGTAAGGTCGATGTCGAGATCCGAACCGATCGGGTGAGGTTCTTGCGTGGGATCTCGACCCTGACTAGCCGAAACCTTATGGACTTTGGGTTTGTCCGTTTTAGGTTTCTTCGACTGCTGTGAGTCTTTGCCCTGCTTCCGGATCTTGGAAGGTACGGGGTGGTCCTTTATCGGCGTCGATCGTTTCGGTGCCGAAGCATCGATTGCGACCGTCGACGTCGATGATCCCGGAACGGGAGGACAAGTGTCCGCAGCCAAGGTGGACATCGAGGCGTGCCCGGACGTGTCCAACGGTGAAGAGGACTGTGGAGATAGTGCCTTCTCCATCAGGGCCAAGTGTAGACGAGCTGCCCTGTTTTTTCTCGTCTGGTTCGAAAACTTTCGGCAATGTCTGCACTTAGAGACACAGTGCGACTCCCCTAAACAAACGAGGCAAAGCGAGTGCCCGTCGGTGGGGGATATTTTAAGGCCGCAAGTCCTACACCGTTTGAAACAACCCCACCGCGGGGCCATAGGCCAGCGGGAGGGGAACGTAAATAAAGAACAAACACCGAAAGAAAAATGCTAACTACAAAAATAAAGAAAAAGAAACTAACTAAACGTAAGTTTAGCAAAAAAAGTTTGGTACTTAGCAGACCGAGGCAGAAGGCGTCCTACCAGCGCGGCGGTCAGAAGAGAACTGGCGGGATCTGCGTGCCCCTCCTTGGTCATGCGCAGTGGAGCCGGCGCGTGACCTGGGAGAGGCGCGAAAATCCCTTTTGCTAGCTATCGGTACCGAGAAGGTCAGCGCAGGCGCAGAGTATCCCAAGGGTGTGATGCACAGAGACCACGAAGAAGATATGTTGATTAGCAGAAACATGGGCTGACAATTTTTATTAGGGAATATAGAAGAAGGATGCACTGAAGTCATGGTCCAAATTAGGCACCTAAGAGGCAGATATTTACCCTTTTAAAAGATTTTGTTTAGTTTGATCCTGTTAACGGGCACCCTTCCCCGTTGTGGGGGCTGATGGAGCATTGGCGGCGAGTGGCGAAATGGCGACTAGGCACAACACCAGCGGTGGATCGGACGTTGGTGGAAGGCGGAGCAAGGAGACGCAAAGAACGTAGAGGCACAGGCACGGCGGAGCCAAATGGACAGAGCCGGAGCTGCGCTGACGTGAACCGCGCGCCGGATAGGCCCGCCGATCACAGCCGACGCCAAAGACCACGAGAAGGAGAAGTAGAGGAGCCGGGAAAACCGAAAGCCGAGCCGACAAGAAGCCGAACCGAGAGAGAAGAACAGCAAGTCCCTCCACTGGGTGCCGGTAGGGCACCCTGACTATATGTGGCCATAGATAGGGATAAAGAGTAACTGTAAGCCGCTCAGAGACCCCTTGGGGGTTCGAGCGGGATACAAGCTGAAAGCATAAATAAATAAATATAAATAAACAAAAGAGTTCACAGGAAAGTTATAGTACAATGAGGAGAGCACTGAATCTTTAAAATGTTAGACCAAGCACTAAGACCACTTTCATAGGTGAAAGAAACTTTGACAATTTATATATCTATAAAGCAAATGAAAAGGCCTACATTAACTAAATGTTTCTTCAAATTTTAAATGTCTCTTTCCACTTTCTATAAAATATTAATAATGCTAACATGATACACCAAGACTAAAAGGTATTCCCCATATCTCTTGTAAATAGTAATCAATAATCAAGCAGGTCTCTGGAAAGACAGCAACTGGCTTCAAAGATTTATATACCACCCAAATATCTTCCTAACTGCTAGAAGTAGGGAAGAAGTAACATGCTTTGGGAACAAAACTAAACTGTGGTAACAACTTTGATTTTTTTTCTTATTTACCAGCAGGCATTTCATTAACAGAAGATGAAATATCTTAGAAGTATTTAGTCTATTGAAGATGGAAGTCCAAACATACACAGAGATTATGCTAAATAAATATTTGTCAGATAAGGGATTTCTGGAAATAGGGACTCTAGCAGACCTTGAGCTGTCTTTTATTCTTGAGTGAACAATGTAAAAGAATCACCATTTATCTTAAAATATTGGAGAAGGTGACCCTTGTCTCCCACTCACTTGTCTCCTTCTCCAATTCATTGCCGGTCTGTGCTCAGACCTCTTGTAGCTTCGTTAATTTGATGACCTCCTCTGCTTGTCCCAGCCGGCATCGGCTATGCTCAGCATAAAACTGAGCCTCACAGGGGACGGACCGATTGGGGCAAAAAGGAGCGCCTCAATTCTCCGGCATTATGCCATCGAAGAGGTCGCCCCCCCCAGCACCCCCGGCTTTGAGCCTTTAACTAAGGCTCACCTGGGGGAGCCACTTGAGGTGGCCCCCCTCCAATCCCACTGGAGCGCGGATCTTCTCCCCAGAGGTAGGGGAGAGCGTCTGCCATCACCGAGCCACAGACCGGAAGTCTGCATGCACACTTTTTCAAATACATTAGAATAGAAGGTGAGAGTTCAAACTTATAGACGGAGGCTGAATAGCAAATTAACATGTAAAATGATGAAGATGTTTTAAGATATGCAAAGACAAAACTAAACTAAACTCTTACCTTCTATTACAATGTATCTGAAATAGTGTGCATGCACACAAAAGCTCATACCTTGAGTAAACCTTTGTTGGTCTTAAAGATGCCACTGGACTCTAAATTGGATCAAATTTAGTGGTTCATAACTGCAAACCAGACACTTCCTTGGGCAAAACTATTGTAAGGGAAATAAAATAGATTATTGGATATGGGCATGGGTTTGATGCCTTGTCCCACAATTCCTATGAGTCAAAGACCATTCTTCCACAAAATAAACTAGTTGTATTAATGTTCAGTTTGCCAGTGTGATGGTTCAGGTTTCAGGTGCTTTTAGGAACAATATTATGTGATCGTATAAGTTCAGAGTTGAATTATATTTGTGCAATATTCAAATCTAATTTATCTTTTTTCTCTTCCAGGGGTTTCTCGTAGCACTTTTGTACTGTTTTTCTAATGGTGAGGTATGTTAAAACTGTGGTATCCTTGTTGCTAACAAATTTACAAACAATATGAATGGAAACAAGCTAGAAACTCCATCACCAAGACTCCACAAACTGGTGCCTGTATCATTTGCTTTTCCTAGTATATGACACAGGACCTACTAGCAGGTACAGTCTGTACCTCAGGCTGGGTAGTGTTCTTAGTGGTCTTCTGTGTTTTTTTATGGGAAGATTATTTTCTGATTGCAAAAGTACTAAATTTTCCACACAATGTTCCTTGGGATGGTTGGGGAGAATAGCACATGGAAGTCTGTCCCCTTCAGCTTGTTTCTAGAAATAACAAGTAAAGTGAGTGTCTTGTGAATTAATTGAACTGTGACTGAGGCTGAGCCACTCTTCAGCTAATATTACGTAAATAATTTTATTGGAAAGATTTGGTCAACTGCAGAGATTAACGCCCTTGTTAGGACTGGCGAGTCCAGGGTGGGAGATGGAAAGTAAAGATGAATGTCCACATTCCACACATATATCACACACACCAGCTTAGTAACGGTTCTGATAGATATACAACTGAACTAGCTATTCCCAAAGTCTTATCTTCACCCAAGGTCACTCCTGTGTGAAAACCCAGGTGCTCCTTGGGGCTGCTTCAAGAAGAGTTACATTTATGGCGGTGTTGTGTCCCCAACCGAAGTGCTCTTGGGGGTATATGTGGGGAAAGGTGGTCCCTCAGGTAGGTTGGACCTGAGTCCCTGAGTTATGAGTAAACGGCGGGGGGGGGGAGTCCCTGGAAAGTTGCAACTGTCTGTGATTTCTATGGATTTTATTACTGATCTTCCAGAGAGTCAAAGCAAGACTGTTATATGGGTGGTAGTGGACCTATTTTCCAAACAAGCCCACTTTGTACCTTGTAAACGCATACCCACCGCTAAGCAGTTAGCCACACTCTTTTTGCAGCATGTCATCAGGTTACATAGTTTGCCAAAAAAGGTCATAAGTGACCATGGGACGGAATTCGTTGCCAAATTTTGGAAGGAATTTTTGAAACTCTTAGGGGTTGAATGTGAACTAAGCAGTAGCCACCATCCCAAGATGGATGGCCAAACTGAACACACCAACCAAATCTTAGAGCAAGTGTTACAGTGCTATGTGAATTATCAATAAGATAATTGATTGTCCCTATTACCATTCGCTGAATACAGCTACAATAATCCTTTGCACAGCTTGATTGGGATGAGCCCCTTTATGGCTGTCCATGGGTATAAGGGAGGCCCCCTTCCCATGGTAGACTTGACTAAACCCATCACAGGTGGGTTCAGCCAATATTACTTAAAGAGGTTTATTGGAAAGATTTGGTCAACTGCAGAGATGAACGCCCTTGTTAGGACTGGCGAGTCCAGGGTGGGAGATGGAAAGTAAAGGTGAATGCCCACATTCCACACATACCTCACACACACCAGCTTACTAATGGTTCTGATAGATATACAACCAAACTAGCTATTCCCAAAGTCTTATCTTCACCCAAGGTCACTCCCGTGTGAAAACCCAGGTGCTCCTTGGGGCTGCTTCAAGAAGAGTTACACTTATGGAGGTGCATTCCTAATACTACAACAATCGGCCTCTCACACACTCCCCCCCTAGGAATCTCATGGCAGCGAGGGCATGAGATAGCGAACGAAGCCAGAAGCCAGATGTGTCCTGAGCAAGCAAGATTACAGAAGCGAAACTAGCATTAGCAGTAATAAATCCCAATTCAGCCCCGAGTATGACACCAGTTCTGGTAGGCAAGAAAGCAGCCGTCACAACAGGACTGGCTACCTGGAACTATGGCAGCTTCATTTTCACTGCACTATCACTGACTGAGATCACACAGAAAAGAAGGCTTTTGCAAGTTTAAAATAAAATGATGCCAAAGCAGGTCAGGGGAACAAAATGAGAACTTTGTGAGTTTTCCTGCAATTTTTTGCACTGAAATTTGAATTCACCAAAAAGTAGCCTCTCTTCAGTTTAGAACACACACCCCTGCAACCCCTGAACCACTTTTTAAAAAATGTATACTTTAAAAATCAACAGTCAACATGGAGGAGTTAAAGTATGGTAGTATAAAAGAAGTGTGAGGGGAAAAAGAAAGTAGGTGGAAGAATAGGCTTGTGAGGGAGGCAGCAGCATGAACGAATGAATCAATGACTGATTACAATATCTTCTGCATTGTAAAATCCTATCGAGGACCGTTAAATGATACCTAGGTACAAGTGTGTGGATCTTCTGTCCAAATATTGTAATAGGGATCTTCTTGATCCTAGCTCCTGTACATTAGCAAACAGAGCGCATGAAATGTGGCAGGGGCAATGCAGGATGCAAAATAGACCTGAGACCACTGCAAGATGTCAGAAGTGTGGTATCAAGTACATGAGCAGTTGTTCTGCACTTGTGAGTCACACTTCTGACATCTTGCTGGCCTCAGGTCCCTAAGAATGTCTTATGGAATTCTACTTGTGTTTCCCCTGGAAGTCAGGGCTTTCTCCTGTAAGATGACTTCAATATTGCTCCAAGAAGCTCCAAAAAGGGCACATTTCTATACCTGCTCTCTAACCCCAGTACTGAGTGCCCCAGGATAGGCTGTACAGCATTTGCAAATCCCCACAGAAGAATTTTCACCCTACTTACTATCTTTTTGTTTTCTAGGTGAAAGCTGAACTGCATAAGCAATGGTCTCATTTCCTGCTGGCATATCCCTTTGTCTGCCTGCCATGGAATATCATCAAGCTCCTGGGGAGGTGTCCAAAGAAATCCAAGAAACAGGAGCATTCCTTGGAAATGTCTCAGCCTCAGAGGATGCAGATGACAAAGCAGAGATCATGCTGCAATGTTGAGCTAAGTCCCACATGGAGGCCCAAGCCCAGAAAGAGCAGCTCTGACAGCAGCGAAGGAGAAGTCACAGGTGGTGAGACCACTGAGGTCTTTGAAGAAAGTGAGATTTAGATGCCACAGTACAACCAGAAACAAAGACTTCATAATGAATTGGAACAAAGGGGGCAGATTTTACATCATGCAGAACCTGGAAGCCACTGGAATGAATGGGAAACAAAGAACGCAAACAATTGACTTTTATTTTAGCTTGTCGATGGCAAATGTGCGCAAAGCCTGGGAATGGAACGGCAAAGTAAATAGTCTCCCTTTGGCCCTTCAGAAACCAAAAAACTCAATGTGAAATGATGAATACAAGGAACAGATTGATCATCTTCTCCCAAAGGTCTGCTGCCTCCCCCTGTGGTACCTCTGTGATGTCCAGTGGTGGATGCTGCCATATCCTTTAAAAACTGGGTTGACCACACAGAGCTCCTTTTCAGCTTTCCATAAAGTTGCTTTTGTGATGACAGCAAATAAGCAGATGGATACTGGCAATGAATACATGAACTGAGCTGATAGTTGGATTAAACACAGCACTTTGGCAGCTTGCACGTATATATTTATCAGCACATTTTCCAGCTGCAGCTATAATAATTAAATGCTGAAACTGTCTGGTTTCTAGGACAGCATTATTAATGAATCTGCTGCTTTTAAGGTACACAAATACTTTATAGTCCCAGTTTCCGTTACCCGTCCAATGAGTAAGTTATCATCATTTCTACTTTGCAGATAAAACCCTGGCATTTTAAAAGTACTGACTAACCCAGCAGAAAATCTGGTTTGGAAAAGGAATGGGAGGAAGCGATGGATCTGAGGGAACATAAGCCAAATGCATCTATTTTCAAAGAGCAAGACAAGTCATAGCAAGACCTATAAATGTTAGATGAGGATGTGATCCAATAAATAAACATCAAGTAAGCAAGTAAATAGGTAAGCGGGAAGAAAAATAGAAGTTGCATGGAAAAGCATGTAACAGTTCCCTCTCTTTTAAAATGAAAAGCAGCCCTGGGAGGCTATAGTCTTAAGTGGAAAACTGGTGAGGGATGCTTAACCCTGTCACAACTGGTACCCCCAGGCCTATCAGACATTGCTGTGTTATACTCTGAGGGCCCCCAAGAACTGCTCAGCTTTGCTTTCAGCTCAACCTAGGGGATGCCAACTTCCAGGTGGGACCTGGGGATCCCCCAGCATTACAGCTCATCTCCGGACTACAGAGATCAGTTCCCATGGAGAAAATGGATACTTTGGAGGGTGCACTTTATGACATTATGCCCCACTGAGGTCCCTGTCCTCTCCAGGCTCCACCCCCAAATCTCCAGGAGTTTTCCAACCTGGAGCTGGCAACTCTGCCTCCCGCTGGCAGCCCTAACACCAGCCCTCCTATGGACCTTACTGTGGTGTCAGCTTTGTTTTCTTTCAAGTAGTAACAGTCTACAACTGCATTCCCCAGGAACATGGAGTAAGAGCCTGCCAAATAGTCTTCCTTACTTAGGCTGCAATCATACGCACAATTAGACCTGCCATAGGCACGAATGCCAGGTAAATTTAAAGGGCGCGAACAGACAACAACATCTGGGAAGCGCCCCACAGCCATCGGCAACCCGTTCTGCTCTGCTGCAGAAGCGGAGTTAAAAGACACTGGGGGGAATCCGCTAGTAAACGGGTTGTGACAGGTCACAGACAGACTTTCTCCTGTCCAGGGCTATTTTGGGGCAGGAACGCACAGGAACGGAGTTCCAGCTGGCTCCCGAGTTGGCCACACCCAGCAGGAACTCATTAGCATAATAGGCCACACCCAACAGCAGAAACTCATTGGAACTGGCTACATTAGGGGTGTGTGGCCTAACATGCAAAGAAGCTCCTGCTACAAAAGAATCCCTGGGTTTTGACAACAAACAGGGTAAACAGAATAAGAAGCAAAAGGTGGGTGTGGCTGGATGACCACACGTCTGGCAACATGGGGGTGTGGCCTAATATGCTAATGAGCTGTGTCATCAGGGGTGTGGCCTAATATGCTAATGAGTTTCTGCTATTGGGTGTGGCCTATTATGCTAATGAGTTCCTGCTGGGCTTTTTCTACAAAAAGAGCCCTGCGTCCTGTCTGATCGCTCCAGTGCGCTCTCATGGTGTCGAGATGGTCTGATCAGGCCATTCCAACGCTGTGCCGTTGTTTTTTCCCCTCCTTCTCAGTATGCGCATCGTCGCAAACTCCATAGGGAGCCCTCAGTGCAGAGATGCAATTCATCGATTCCTCATCTAAGCGCATCAGAAACAAACAAACAAAAAAACCCCACGACTCACCCGTGGTTGTGTCTGATCACGTAGTGGCGGGCTGTGCCTGCAGTTTCCAAGGACTGTGTGATCACGCAACTGCAGGTCAAATTCCTCCAGAGGAAATAGCCTCGCTTCCCCCCCCCCGTGCTTTATCTCATGTGTGTGACCGCAACCTTTCATATTTGCACTCGAAATTGTAACATGAACAAAAAGACTGGTTTGTCTAGAGCTGATAATGTGGAAAGAATGATTCACTGTCGTGTGTTTCTTTGTGAGTTTATTGAAAATGCATATACCAGGTAATTTCATTTCAACTTTTCGGAAAGCCATTGTACTGAGGAATGAATAGGTGTTTGAGCTCTTGGCAAATAAATATAATCCCCCCCCCCAATTTTCATAGTATAAAGAACTTTTTCTTTTTCTTTTTTTAGTAGCAGGAAGTGTGGCAGAATTTTGAATCAAGGGAGACTTGTCCATTTATGTATAAGGTATATTGAATAGAAGTTAGCAAAAGCAGACTTTGGTTTCATCCCATAAAGCATTGCAGCATAACTATTGCTGTCTTTCCCACACAGGCAGCACCTGGCTACTGAATTCTTTCCCACAGATAGCCCACATTCCTCTAGCCAAATGCAAAAAGCCTCAAGGCTGAATCTCTAGATATGCTCTGTCTATACTTCACCTGCTCTGGCCAGAGGCTTTGGCCTGGCTGATAACCTGTTGATGGGCAAAGTTTATGGTTTTATGGTGCCATTAAAGGGACTATTGGTGAGCTCATGAGATTCCCACAGGACATTTGATGTGTGTCTTTTATTACCTTGCAAATGGGTATAAAGAGGGTCGAGGTTCTGTTGTCTGCCACTGTCAATCTGACTGGTCGGTTTTAGGCCCTCTGCACGACAGTCAGAAATATATCTCTTTCTCATTGGGGAAATTGTGTACACTGCCTTTTTGGTAAATGCTCTAAACTTTTCTATTAGTTTTGCTTAAGGTTCAATAAAATAGATTGTATTGCATGCTGGTGTCCTCTTCCCATCCTACCAAGACTTGGTGTCCTGTCAGATCCCATCCAGTCCAGTGAACTTAAGTGATGCTGAGACAATAGGTGGAAGCCTTGTGACCAGGTACATTATTTTTTTCTGCAACAGGAAGAAAGGAATTCTCCATCCCAAATTTTGCAATAGTTAAAAAAAATGGAGTAAGGGGGGAAACAAAGTGCCTGTATTTAGAGAGGCAGTTATAATTTTTCCAGTGATTTATTTATTTACATCCCACCTTTCACCCTAATGGGGACCCAAAGCTGCTTTCTCCTCTCCTCTGTTTTATTCTCACAATCCTGTGAGGCAGGTTAGACTGAAAGTGTACGACTGACCCCAGGTCACCAGCAGCAAGCTTCCATGGGACAAATGGGGATTTGAACTGGATTTTCCCAATCTTAGTCCAACACATTAACCACTGCACTACAACTGGCTTGTCAGGAGGAAATGAAAAGCATAAAATTCATGTATTTGTTTTATAAAAGAGGAGAGGGAAGGGGCTCAGAAAGGTGAAGGAGAAATAATTTTGTTTGAAGTGTCATGTGACCATGTGACAAGTTTTTTGACAAGGGAGCTAATAGCAGCTGTGGGGCAGTTTGCAGGTGTGAAAACAGGAGAGGTGAGAAGCTAAAGCTGCTTCTCCCTGCCTCCTTTGGTGACAAAAAGCCCATTTTTGTGTCTGGGAGGCACAAAACTCCCATTGCATATGTGATGCAAAGTCCTTGCATTCTTCCCCAGCGAACATGAGTACTTTATAATATGTAGCTGGAACCTCAGACAGGTGAAAAAGGACAGGTAATTTTCTGCTTGTGATGGATGTAGATGGAGAGGGGAGAAAGGTATTAGACTAGTGTGTGATAAATAATAGAAGACATTCATTCATTCAATTTATAGACCGCCTCCCCCCCACACACACACATGGGCTCAGGGAGGTTTACAACATTTCAATAAAATACAATCAATCAGTAAAGAATTAAGATTATTAAAATTCCAATAACTATTAGAGGGTGGCACTTAAAACCAATTTCTATCCTTACCCCATGGGGGGAAGGCAAAAAGGAGGAGATAGAAATGGCACCACAGAGGGAGGGCCAGACACGATGGAAACCGTTGCTATCCTCAACCATTGGCCTGGCAGAACATCTCTGTCTCACAGGCCCTGGGAACTGTACCAAGTCCCACAGGAAATGGATATCATTTGGCAGAGAGTTCCACCAGGCCAGCACCACGGCCAACACCCCCCCCATCTCTAGTTGAAGACAGCCAGATAACTTTTGGGCCAGGGATCACCAGAAGGTTTTTCTCTCCAGAGCGTAGTGCTCTTTTGGGGGTATACCAGGAGAGGTGGTCCCATAGATATGTTGATCCCAGACAGTTTAGGGCTTTAAAGGCTAGTACCAAGACCTTGAACCTGATCCAGTATTTAACCTGGAGCCAGTACAGCTAGCGAAGCACTGGTTGGATGTGTGCTGTCCCATGAGAACCTACATGGCTGCATTCTGGACCAGTTGCAGTTTTCAGGTGAGTCTCAAGGGTAGCTCTGCATAGAGCGGGTTACAGTAGTTAAACCTGGAGGTGACCATTGCATGGATTACTGTGAAAAGGTTGGAGTGAGACAGGAAGGGGGCCTGTTGCCTGACCCGGCAGAGTTGGAAAAATGCCAGTCTGGCAACATTTCTGATCTGGGCCTCTATTGATAAGGAGGCATCCAGAAGCACACCCAGGCTCCTGGTGGTAGGTTCCGGAGTTAGAGGTACTCCG